CGTTCACCTAATCATATCAATGGAAATTTATACTGGTGTTGGGTTTTTAGGAATTACGGGTGCTGATACTGCTACTGTTACTGCTACTACTACTACTACTACTACTACTACTACTACTGCTACTCCCACTCCTACTACCGCTACTGCTACTACCACCATCACTACTGCTACTTCAACTCCTACTACTACTACTACTACTACTACTACTACTACTACCGCTTCTACTACAACTACTGCTGCTACTCCCAGTCCTACTACTACCGCTACTGCTGCTACTACTACTACTACCACCACCATAACCCCAACCACAACTACTGCTGCTACTACTACTACTACTACCACCACAACTACTGCTACTACTGCAAATGCTGCAGTTGTTGCTACTGCATTCTTGCCCCCGCTATGGCAAAAGTTCTGTCCTAAATAGCGCACTGCACCATCTTGTATTCACTGGTGTCAGTCACGGAATTTTATCTAATTCTAATTTTCCTGTGGTCATCCCTGATACATACCATCCAGCACTTGGCCTTGGTTTTAAATTGACTTAGGTTATACTCATATTTCCTTGTCCCCGAATTGTAAGTATGCCCAAGATGATTACCTGTTTTACGAAACTTAATTCTGACTTGTCTTACTAATGAAAATTCTGTTGACTCTTTAGTTTCTAATGCCACTGCCAGTGCCTGGAACTATACATTCCTCATGTAAGATCAAAAAATGTTACTTTTTTGTCCTGTTTTTCTGGTTTAAAAGTTACATTGAGCAGAAGATCGGTATGTTAGGAGATACGAGGAAACAAAATCTGATTAACGCTATAATGTTTCGTTCTTATTGTTGAAAACTGGTTAAAACTACCACAAAAACAGACAGACTTCGTTCGCTAAAGGTACTGGATCATAAACTGAGAACCAAATCAAGTGCTTTCAGAAATATATATATATTTTTTTTTTAATTAAAGGAATGATAATTCCATCACGTAACCCATAATTAATGAACAGAGCTGCAATGTATTTCTGAAATATTTGCTGATATTTTTCTTTCAGTTTTAACTATTCCCCTTCATTCGATGTTGTAAACGATGCTCATATGCAATACTCATATTTAATAATTAAATAAATACAGAGCCTTTGCCTTGCATGTTTCGGACGCTAATTTCCACTATTATAAAGGAAGTACTTTAAGACGTTATTGAGCGTAAGTTGTTAGAAAATCAGTGAAGGGAATTTTGAATATCAAGACTAAGCAGATAAATCCTGTTACAACCGAAATAAGACCGTAACTGTCGAGGAGTAATAAATATCTGGTCATGAGCCCCAGGAGGGTGCTCCACACCAAGACTTGCTGACTGACGGGCCGTCAGTCGCTGTGTGACTTTGACTTTGAAGGGAAGTCTCAATTCTGAGACAGTAAAATATGTTCTCGAGTCTCAAGGGACTCAGACCCGAGAAAGACTGCGCTGGGAAGACCCAGTATCATGTAAAAAAGACAGATCCGTCCTCTCGTCAGAGAAGGCGTCCCACAGAAATAAGACCGTAACTGTCAAACAGTAATAAATATCTGGTCATGAGCCCCAGGAGGGTGCTCGACACCAAGACTTACTGACTGACTGACCGTCAGTCGCAATATGACTTGGACTTGGACTGTTACAACAATGTAGGATTTGAGGTTCTCACAGCGGTGGTTATGAAGAATACTATCTTCTGGGGTATAGCGCCGTGTAGTCCGTTGAAAGTTGACCGAAGTTAATCTGCATAAATACGAGTAAAACCGACTGAATTAAAAAAGTGTGACTCTTAAATAAAAAATTCATAACAGATACAGGTGTAAAAATGAATACGTTAGATACATGGATTTATAGATGTTAGATTTATAAGAAGTATATTTTTCTACCGAACAGAAATTTAAATTATTATTGAATACGATTCACAGGCCTTGTAAGTATGTAGTTAAACATATATATTAAGAATATTCTGGAGTGTGCAATCTTAATAAATAAATGCGTTTCATCTCTGATTCGCCACTTGGCTGGTGACAGAGCAAGAAGGTTTATATCTTATATATTTTTATTTCTAGTGGGGTGGGACTAAGTCCCTTGCACTGCGGCCACTTCTGGCCTATTGTACCAGCCCCAGATGATAGGAGAGGGTGATTGTGGAGCAATTGGTGGAATGAAGATTGGCAGGGGAACCGAAGTACTCAGAGAAAACCTGACCCAGTGCCACTTTGTCCACCACAAATCCCACTTGACCAGACCCGGGATCGAACCCGCGGTGGGAAGCCAGCGACTGACCGCTTAAGCTATGGCGCGGCCTACTTANTATTTTATATGTGCAAATTCAAACGGAATAAAATTGTTATATTCGGTTTATGCTGATACGGTCAACCGTGGAACGATGACTGGAAAGGAAATGTGGAACATGAGCGCTGAATTTTGACAGTGAGTGTATTCTACGAGACTGATGAGCGAGACAAGTCGGTGAGCAAACAAAGTCTGAAGTTATGCCGCAGGAGTTCTAAAACTTTTTAAGATCAGATTCCACTTTGATCCCCCCTTTCTACAGACTCTCGGGCCCTTGGGTTAAAAAGGGCTTCAGTTTATTGGAGGTTTACTGAAAATGCTACCAACTTACTACCCATTATAATCTAGTTCACATATTACTAGCCTACTCAGTATATAATGAACTTGTTGGTATGTTATTTTTATGAATTCGCTTGGAATTGATTACTTAATTCATGCGGTAACTATTTTTTCTTACACAGAATGATACAGGATTGCAAGAATGTACGGGGCCGCATGTGGTCCGCAGGTTGAAGCTCTCTGTTCTACGGTGTATGCACCGTTAGATTGTACAGATTCCATAATCAAGTAAACTGTGATCCGGAGAACAAACGCCAAGGTTGAAAAATCCTGTTTATTTAAAAAAATCCGTACTAACGCTCGGTAAAATACACAGACCACCTACTGCGCATGATATTGTGTATCTGAAAACAAACACTTCGCTTACTCCAGCTGATTGGTCTGAATGAAAGGCGACCCTGCGAAACCGAGATACAAATGCGTATATTGCTGTGATTAATGCCAACAGTAGTGAACTGTAGGAACAAAGTAGACATATTGAACTGGCGATGGAAAGATCCTCGTTTGAAGAGGTTGCAGAGTGTCAAGGGATTGTTGGATTTGAGTGCTTGGTATAAGAAACTAATTTCACAACAGAGAGAAATTCTGTTTTAAGAGATTCATTCCCGAAGTCGCTAAAATGAAACTTCCAGAATAAATTCTTCAGCCTGTACTGGCCGCGTGCATCTCACTGTTACACCAAGCAATGCAGCGAATTTATAACATGAAAACACGCATAACCCTTTTTATTTCTCCCCCCCCCTCCCCAAATCTTTGAAGTTTAGCCGATTCATGTTCCAAGCATGTTGAATTGTTATCAGATGGTAACAGAGGACAATAAGTGATTGTTCCATGAATTGATCTGGCAACAAGCGATACCAACTGGCCATTCATTTTAAAAAGACGCCAGTTTCTAGCTTCTGTTATAACGGATAGAAGGAGAATGAAGATTCGTATTATGGTTTTCTGTGTTGATACCATGTGTTTTAGTGTGGTAGGTAGCCACTAGCATTTCATAGGAACCTGCAGACTCCATCTTCAGGGTTTAAGTCAGACTCAGCATGTCCCCCCCCTCCCTTCCAAACCATACCCGTGTACTAGAACATAGCATGTTGTCATTGTAAATTATTCTGTAAATTCCTTCCTCTCATTATTGGAATATAATTTCAGATTTAAATATCCCAAGTGATATAAGGTATTGAAGAAAATAATTAAAACTCTTTAAAGGTAGTCTGCATTTGAAAATTGACATTATTTCATGAATTTTAATTTGTTCTCCGTTTTAATGGTTCTAAATAATGAAAGATCTGAAAGGAAGCGAACACTTCAGAGAACTAGAGTACACAACATGTGACAATAATTTGAAAAAGAAAGAGAAACCCGCGGTAGCGTAGTTGGTTGAGGCACTAGGCTACAAGCCGGAAGCTCGCGGGTTTGCTTCCCAGTGAGGTTATTGGATCGAATCTTTACAGCCGCACTGTGGTCCTGGAGTCAACTCAGCCTCTAACAGAAATGGGTACCAGGAATCTTCCTGGGGGTAAAGGGAGGCGGCGTAAAGCTGACAACCTCACCGCCAACTGTGAGCCGATTGTCTATAGAAAATGTGGGAGCCTCGACGTCTCAAACCCCTATGGGCCTCCGCTGTCAGATATAACGATAACTTTATTTCTTTATTTTTTACATTTAAGAAAAAACCCCACTCTTCGCATTAGTTTTTAAGTTTGATTTTTCGTGTACACGAAATGTTTTTGCTTCTTAATATGTGTAATTAAATAATATATTGATCTCATATTCTTCTTTAAAATGTATTTATCGTTATCTTTACCTATAATTTAGCTTAACTTATAAGGATTTTATCAGGGGTCCCGTGAATATTTTTCGAATGCAGAAGGGTAAAAGTAAGTTAAAGTATCCCTGTAACAGGCGGTGGAGGCCCATAGGGTTGTGAGATATTGAGGTTCTCACATTTTCTAGACAATCGGTTCATAGATTGCAGCAAGGTTATCAGCCTTACGCGCCGGCCGCCTTCTACCTCCAAGAATATTCCTGGTACTCATTTCTGTTAGAGGCTGAGTCGACTCCAGGGCCATAGTGCGGCTGGAAGGATTAAGTAAATTGAAAAAAATATCCACCTCATCGGGATTCGATCCCGCGAATGCAGAAGGGTTCCATGGCCAAATTTAACCGAGTAGCACTGGACTGTGGGATGATAATGTGCAGAAACGGTACCAGAATTTCCATTTAACTGAGTGGACTCATATGTTTCTGTACTTCAAGGCGAGGCCGAAGTCGGATGACCGCTCAGTATCTTCTTTACAGTCCATAAGCAAAGCGACAAAGGCCCTTGCCCTGTGGGTGCTGCAACTCGTCTCTTTTGTTGCAGCCGCTTTCCAGCACGTGCGAGAGAACATAGAGGACCTGAACGGCAGGGTCGGTGCCAACGACACGGATCTCATATTCCTCAAAGGCCTCATGGACAGCCCTATCATGAGATCCCTAGTTAAGGTAAGAGTCTATTTCTTTGCTTTATCCATGGTTTCGAGTGTATTACACTAGTCTCTCGTATCTTCCACCATTGTTTCCTGATATAAAAGAAGCTTGTAAGGAAGTCTGGTTTGTCTGTTTATCTCTAAAACTAGTTAGGCGTGAAAGTAGTGTCACTGGTGGTTATCCTATTATATTTTTTATCTATATCTATATTACGAGGCAAGACAGAAGCTTCACCGCTTTACAGAGAAGAACATAAAATTCACAGTGTACCATTTCTTGTTTGTACGGATAATATTAAAATGAATTTTAAATACGCTGACACTAGGCACTGTCTGTCGTGGCAGAGATGTCAGCAGGCCCAGTCTCCCATTTCTTAGCTCTGTAATCGTATAGTATTTTTTTTATTGCTAGTGGGGTGGGACTAAGTTCCTTGAACTGCGGCCACTTCTGGCCTATTGTACCAGCCCCAAATGATAGGTGAGGGTGATTGTGGAGCAATTGGTGGAGTGAGGATTGGCAGGGGAAACCGAATTACTCGGAGAAAACCTGCTCCAGCGCCACAAATCCCACTTTACCAGACGTGGGATCGAACCCGGGCCAGCGACTAACCGCTTGAGCTATGGCGCGGCCCATCGTATAGTAAGTTGTATTCCTTCCCCCACTACCTTCCAATTTATATCTGTATTCCGACTGACAGTAGATTGCAATGATCTGGCGCAGGATAGGATCCTTTGAATAATCTTCGGATTATTTCCTGGTAGTCTGCACGAATTTCAGCAACTCAAGTACACGTACGACTTTTTCCCCTGGGTTTGGATAATAGATGTGTTGACATCTATTGCAATGAAAAATTATTTTTAAAATGTCGGAATTAGAATTTAGACTCTGAGAAACTGTATGAGAACAACATTAAGAAGATTCCAAGTTGTTAAAACAGGAAAATAACTGAATCGTTGAATGTACTGCTCGTGTTTTTAGACGTGGCCATTTTCGGTAGAATTCACAGTGGATTTGGTCAAGTCCATTAACTGAGGTAAGGACTGTAGGATGTGTGTGGGTCCATAACAGGGCATTAGTTACAGTGCATCACCCTCTCTTGCTCCTGCAGTGCAACTGTAACCACTCCCTTGCTTTTTCTTTCCACACTTCTCACGCACCACTCAGACGCCAGAGTTCAATCATCGGGCAACCCGCATGTCGGACAGACGGTGAAGCCCCGAATAGTCGAACGAATTGGAGGGGGATATGCACGTGTGTGTGTGTGTGTGATTGCGCCAAATACATCTGTTATCTGGCCCTATTTATGTGTAAAAAAATAGTAATTATGGAATTTTGACAAAAACTAAAAGAATTAGGATTTCAGAAGAGCAAGGAATCACTCATTCGACATACGCCGATGACCTAATTCGCTTGCAGCTTCAGAAGAGAATCTATAAAGAGAGATTACAGAGCTGCATCGAGTGCTAAACACTTCAGAAACAAAAATTAGAAGAAGAATATACAAGGAAATAATAGCGACAAATTAAAATAGCTTTAAATGGCCGTATTATTGAACAAGTGTTAAAAGGTAGTAATACCTTTGATGTTCAATATCGCTCTACTAAATGGAAATACGGAAGAAAGATTGCGTATAGGCCTATAGCCAACTATATGAAGTAAAGAACAAATTTAAAAATAAAATTATAATAGCCCTTCTATCACGACTATAAAATATTACAGCTAAACAAAATGTGTATTTTGGAAGTGAGACTTGAGTTTCGAGGAAGTGAGAGAGAGAGAGAGAGAAAACAGAAGCTACTTACTTGAGATTTTTTAGATCATTACTAGTAATAAATGTGTTACATAGATAGGTCATAAAGATACCTATATATTTTATATGAAGTATTTTTGGGATACTAAAGTTACAATTATGGCGACGATGCGAAACTTTAACGTGGACTCTGTAATTTACTATAGGGAAATATAACCGGAATATGATGTTCAGTTTATAATTAGCTATAAAAAAACTAAATCCGTGGCCTGTAGTCCGCAGGGGAACTATGTAGATAAAAGAGTGTAAAAGAGAATTGGTGTCACATTTATGTGCATTCGTGTTCTTAGTTTAGCGATTCTGAAAAGGTTCTTTTGTTTTCCTATACAGCATTACTCGCGTTGTTGACTTGGCCGCTGCTATGTTCGTGTTTACAAAACAGGCGCTTTACTTAGCCGAGCTTTTAGGTCGTATACCAAAGGTTATATCCGAACGGATCAGAAACGCTCACAGATTTGTAAGGTAAATAATTTCTTGCTCCAACCATCTACGTATAATCGTCTGAAAAATGAATTATAATATGAGTAAAGATTTGTAGCTTCCTTTATTATTTAAGATTTGAGGCTTTCACGGCGGTGACTATGAAGAAAGCAGTCTTCTGGGATTTGGCACCGTGTATATGTGGTGTTAACCGACGTTTCGGAGGAACGTATCACCTCCATCTTCAGGGTAGAAGAAAAAATACAATATAAGAATCTGCAAGCGAAGAGACCGTGAGAACCGGTAAAAGCAGACTGTGCTTTTCTTCTACCCTGAAGATGGAGGCGATACGTTCCTCCGAAACGTCGGTTAACACCACATATACACGGTGCCAAATCCCAGAAGACTGCTTTCTTCCTTTATTATTGTCAACAATGTCAGTATCGATCAATATGGAGCGAGTTTTCAACGTTTCGGAGACTGTAGACGTATTTATAGCCGCCATAATTGAATATCTGCATTGCCCATCACGTCATGCTCTGATGGAGGCAAAGATAGTCTCCGAAACGTTGGAAATCATTTCTATACTGAAACGGCTGATCTCCCAAGAAGAATTAATTGTAATCATAACGATGTGTACGATAATATTCTTTTTTATTTCTTGAATGTCGTGACATTATGCTCCAAGCGGGCGGAATACGAACACGCAATTTCCGAGAGGTCCAGTTTTATTTACTTACTTATGTGTGATTTATTTAGCTACGTTGCTAGTACCGCAAACTCTTATATAGCGTTGAGTAATAATGGATGATGAATTCGAAATGATGTGGAAGGAACCGGTAGTGACCTGATTCGAATAACTTTCCCGGCATTTTCCTGGAAAGACCGAGAAAAGCCACACACACAAATCTTCGGTCAGGATAGTCGGTGTTGCTGCCCACATTCGAACCTTGAACCATCTGAGTACAAGTCATAATGGCGTCATAATGGCTCTTTCAGCCCATTCAGGGGCCATGCCTCCTATTCAGTTCCTCAATCATTTTTCACATACGATAAGACCCCTTGTACGAGTTATCAGATCGTCGCAAGGCCGCTACCTAAACATAGGACAACACAAACATAGAATAAACGCATACACACACCAAACATCCATGCCTTGAGACGGTTACGAACCCACAATCCCAGTGTACGAGCGAGCGAAGACAGTTCATGCTTTAAACCTCGCGGCTACTGAGACCGGTCCATAAGGGCGTGTAAGCGAGATAAATTGTAGGGCAGCTCATGGCATATACATTACAGTTAATAGGGTCTTAACTGTGAATAGCAAATGCTTGGTAGATAATCTTGCCTTGTGTTTTGTCGTCACTGAATAATTTGGCCTGCCTTGGTCTTGAAGGTGGATGCCACATATAGCCTTACCGAGTATTCAGCACAATGTCAATGTCATTTCTTCTGTGGGTGTACTTTAAATGGTCCGTGGACACCGCATTCTCCACTCAGTTTATCAAGCGTTAGGTCCCACAGTCGCGGTAAAATATACCAGTCGTCAGTGTATCAGGAGCACTGAAATTTATTCCTTTTTCTATAAAGATGTCAACCTAAACCTGAAGATTAAAATATTTAAAACTGATAGGAAATTTGACCCGCTATTTTATATTTCATAAAAGTTTCTCACACCTCAGGGAAAGAGGGAAGTGCTGAGGGTGGAAATGTATCCATGTGCATCTTTATAGACGTACATTGTTGTCAGTAATAAAGGAAAACTGTTATTTAGCCAACTAGGAAGCTATGGTCCTGTTAGTTTTAGTGCATATTTGGTAAAGGCGAAAGGTAAGGCAATGTTGTCCCTGTGCTCATTGAATTAAGCACTGCATCATGAAGGCGGTTGTGGGAGTGGATGTATAGACCCATATTTTCTTGACCTCGGTACTAGCCGGAGGTGAGTTTTCAGTTTCACGCCCAGGCCGCTTTACCTCCGAGGAAAGAATCCCCGGTGTCCATTGGGTAGGAGATTGGGTGGACCTTAGAGCAGGTCTGGATGATTTTGAGAATAGAAAATTCTTGACCCTACCGGGACTTGAACTTCGTTCCCTCAGTCGTCCAGCCCGACTGAGCTATCCCGGCTCCAGTGCATATTTGGTACACACAATAAAGTCCTGTTACAATATATATGAGACAAACACCGTCTTAAGTGTAACAATTTAATTGTAGTTCTTTCTTCTACAATTAATTGTATATTATACTACAAGGTATACTACAATATACTACAATTAAATTGTTACACTTAAGACGGTGTTTGTCTCATATATATTGTGTGAGTGTAACAGGATGCTCAAATATAATATCCTGTTCCAAAACTAATAAATAATTACAACGTACCATGACATTTAGCTCCCTGCCTCCCGACATGATCTTAAATGTCATTAATCGTTACAACTAACGGACAGATATCCTTCCCTACTGACAAACCAAGCCGATCACAGTGGCCGCGCAGTCTAAGGCATGAACTGTCTTCTCCTGCTCGAACAGTGGGATCGTGGGTTCGAATCCCTCTTTAAGACATGGATATCTGCGTTTATTCCGTGTTTGTGTTGTCCTGTGTAGGTAGGGCCTTGCGACGGTACATCTCCCCTCCAAAGAGTCCTACCGACTGACTTAGGATTAAGAAACTGAAGTGAAACAAAGCGTTTCACTGATATCCTGTGCTCCAGAGTGGGAAAACAGGAAAGAGAGAGAGAGAGACTCATAATCCAATGGACTGATTACAAAATATACAATTTGACAG